CAACTGGACCAAAAAAAAAAATTAGATCTCCACTTGGTAAATATAGGTTTCTTTACCAGTGAAGAGGTTTGAGGGAGGGGCAAAGATTTAAATCCTTCAAGAGACTCTGTTCTTTTAAAAAAAAAATCACGAATGAGCAAAAAGAACAACAACAAACCCCCCAAAACCCGACAGGAACTTGTGCTTTGGGCAGGACGTCCAGGGTCCTCTACAAAATGGTTAAGCCCTATTAGAAATCAACTTCCCTAGAGGATGCGGAGCCCAGGGTACTGGGCTGAGTGACAGCAAGCTGGATTCTAAGCACTGTGACTGCCAAAGGCGAGAAGTAGATTGAGAAGGAGGCGGAGAGGAAGAAGGCGAGGGTGGGAGGAGGAGGAGGAGGAGTCTGGGGCCCTTTCCAACACACCCCAAAGACCAGATTCCTCCTAGCACGAAACTTCACAAGTTACACCCACTCCCCTCGCCCGCAGGCAGTCGGGGAAGGCTGCCGCTTCCTCCTTTCTGTTACTGGAACCGAGGGATGGGAAGCTGGAAGGGAGGGAGACGTGTGCGCCTTGCTGTGCTGGGTTGGAGCTTTAAATCCTAAAATCGATTCGTCTACGGGTGGATCGCTCCCTGTGTGTGCTGTTTTGGGGAAGCGGTGGTGTGTGGCTCTGGATAAGCAAGGTGAGTCACGGACCCAGGGGAGAGGTCCCCAGCCTGGGGACCCCGAGCGTCCGGGAGATCCCTGGCTCTGCCCTGCGCCTTGGCGCGCCGGCTGGTCTCCATGCTGCGCCCCAGGGGTGCTGCGTGTGTCTGGCTGACTGTGTGTGGCTTCAGGGTAAAGGGGCTTTGGCGTTTTGTGAGTGCTCGTGGAGATTTCCCACTTGCCTCCTGGAAGCGTGAGGGGAACACGGGGTCAGGATGGAGACTGCTGGATGGAGGAACAAAGTCATTCAACGCATTGATCCAGATGCGCTGTAACTCACTCAGCATCCGACACGTTGAATTGAACCCCCTTTGTACAAAGCTAATAATAATGATTTTTTTAAAAAAGGAAGTCACACCAAAGATGCCTCCTGCCTTTGCTGCCCTGCGGTGCCTTGGGCAGTTTCAAGGCAATACCAGTGGAAAACGTCCCTTCTTCAGCCTTCAACAGAGGCTTGAGATTCCAGGGAGAAATGTTGACTGGAAAGGAATACTCTGGAGCTAAGGTTTAGGATTGCATGGACATCTCAAGGAGGCCCTGGAAGTCTTGGTTTCTTATTCATTTTGTGTTAGATTAAGTTAGTTGAGCTCAAAGCTTCTGTGTTATGGGTGTGTTATCTGTTGTCTGGTGTCTCTAACCCTCCCCCCCCCCCCATCTTACTTAAGTGACTTTCGGGTCGGGCGTGGGGAGGAAGTTTGGGTGGAGGGTGGCATTGGGGCTGGGACATTGCAACTGACAATGTCTCAGCAAAGTTTAAACTTGCCTCTGAAGTTTCTCACCAGTGCTCTTCAGGTGTTCTTGGACAATGTGGGGTCTTGGCTGTCAGTGGAGCCTTGGGGGTTTCTGCTTGTTTACTTGTTTACCTCAGATTCCATCAGCAGCTTAGCCACATACCTACCGACACTTGGAGCCTAGAGTTTGTTTTTGCTTGTTTTCTTTTGTAAGATAATTCTTCCTGAAAAAATTCGTAGAGAATCACCCAACTTCTAGGGCCAGAAAATGGGGGTGAGATAGTGTCTGGTTCTTACTGTATGTAGCAAGCCAAATATTCTGCTTGCAAGCATTTCTCTCCTAGTAGATGATTTGTGTGTGTGTGTGTGTGTGTGTGTGTGTACGTACTTGGGCTTGAACTCAAGGCTCATGTTCTCATTCTGCTTTTTTGTTCAGCTGTCACTCTAAAGCCTCTATTTGTGTGTTACTATCACTTGGAGATAAGAGTCTCATAGATTTTCCTGCCTCCACTGGCTTCCTTGAGCCATTGGAGCCTGGCTTAGTAGATGATTTTTATCCCTGTGTTAGAAGCAGAGGAGTAGAAGCTAGCTTTCTCAGTTTACCTTCAACCTACATGTTCCAGGTGGAGCGACACTACTGCTGGAGCCACTGTTAGATTGCGGTAAGCTTCCCACTTCCTTGAAGTTAAAGATACAAACTCCTTAACCAAACCGCTCCCAGGGAGGAACAACAGGCGGTAGGGTGTGATACCATCAAATCTGCCAGAGCTCTGAGTTCTTGTTCCTGTGGGTCTTCAAAGCGGAGCCAGCAGGTGTACCACACAGGATGCTGACATGAGGTGTGTCGGCTGTTCACCTACTCCCAAGGATCCTTGAGCAACTCACCCAACAGGAAAGGCCACCAATGTGGATCCCATGATAGTGCCCGTGACAATGACTAATGCATGGGGCTTTATGTGCCCATAACCCTTAGCTGGAGAAAGGGGCTGCAGGAATCATAGACTCAAGGCCTTTTGATGTTACCGTTGGGGACTGTTAGATGATGTTGCCATGCCAGTGGCTGGAATTGGGCTGTGACTATGGAGGTAGAAGAAAAGCTCCAAACACTGCCATATTGTTACCATTTTCCTCCAGTCCCTCTTCCCCCAGATAGGTGACCTGATTTGGTTCTCATTTTTTGCGTTTTTATTTTGTATTTTTAACTTGTAGATTCAGTTTGTATAATGTGTATACCACTGCTAAACTTTTTTTTGTTGTAGTAACAAATTTTTATCAGAATCTTCTTAGTTTACATTGTTTTAAATTTGTTGGTATAAACTTGTACAGAATATCACTTCATAATATGGTTAAAGACTGTAGCATCTATAAGAGGATTTCCTTTATTATTCCTGGCAGGGATTTTTTGAGATGTCTTGTCTGTCTGTGTTGCTGGGAACCAAACTGAGAGCCTTCTGTGTTCTAGGTCAAGTGCTGTACCACAGAGCAGTATTTTCCCAATCGGTCTTGCTAATGTGTTGCCTGTTCTGTTTGTGCTTTGGAAAAACATCTTTGGAAAACTTCAAGCACAAAGCCCACCTCTTTCCTTTCTTGAATTTCTGTGCATTTGACAAACTCTGCTTCATGAGATACTGTCAAAAAAGCGTTGGAAAAGAAGCTACTGTGTCCTTCTGCTGAACGAGGAAGACATTATGTACTTACCTTTGATGTAGATTGTGTTGTTCAATTTCATTAAACATAATTGCGTGGTGAGCATCCTCCATGGTGGGCCAAATAGTTCCAAGGTGGCTTTTGTATTCACTGGGGCACACCCTGAGAAATTGTTTTAGAAACATCTACCTTGATTATGCATGGGCTTACTGGGACTTTAATGTGAATTGTAGTTGCATTCAACCTGCTTGACAATACACATTTACCTTGTACAGAAGTGGAGCAAATTTCTTGTAATGACTGGGGAAGAACATTTCCTTTTGATTCATATTTAATGCATGAGTCTGAGGCTTTTAAAGTTTCCTTAGAAAAAAACTTCTTTCTGAATCTGTGGCAGTGAGGGAAGAATGCTTGAATTGAATTCCAGCTCTGTTCTTTTAGCTGTGTGGACTCATGAGAGTTGCTTAACTTCTCTGAACTTACAGTTCCCCAACTGTGATTTGGAAATAATGAAAGCTGCTTGTGTGTGTGTGTGTGTGTGTGTGTGTGTGTGTGTGTGTGTGTGTGTGTGTGTGTGTGTGTGTGTGTGTGTGTGTGTGTGTGCTGTTGTGAGCTTTTACCATGAATGTAGGATATCTGCCACAAGGTTTGCACTTAGTAAATTACAATGCAGTGAGTGTTTTCTGTCTTCTGTCCTGCCTCCGACCTCGCCAGCTCTCTGTGCTTTGGGGAAAGGTGAATACTTGCTGCAAATAGAGATAAAGAAAAACTATCACTCCGTTTGCTCTGTTTTCGTTAGGGTTACTGGGATTCCAAAAGGTCATTTTTTGTACTTTTACACCTATTTTTTTAGTTGATTGGTAGCAACTGGTGGTGTATTCCCCCTTCCCCTTTTTAATTCTTACCTTCTTAAGATGGTGGAGATGATGATTTGTAAGTTAATTTTATCTCCTGTGAGATCTCACGGTTCTTCCCCTCCCCTCCTTTTCCTTCCCTTCCCCTCCCCCTTCACTTCCTTTTCTCTCCCTTCTGTCTTCTTTCTTGGTAGAAATGAAATGAGTTCAAATCACCTTAGTTAGTTGAGACTTAGCATCAGTCATTGAGCACATGCTTACATTGCAGGCGAGGTAGAAAAGCAAAAGCACAGGACAGAGGAGAGTGTTTGGTTAAAATTCCTGCACAGAGGTACATAGAGCATTGAAGTCTCCTCGACTCAGCTGTTTGATCTCCTTAGGGACTGTCCACTGAAAATCTCCTTGGCATCATTTGTTCATTTGTATTTGTTTATCCACTGGTATTAGGAGGGGCTGACCTGGAGATGGGATGAGATTTGAGTTGGGAGGAGACTGTTTACAGTTCAGTGCCAGAGTCAGTCCCTGTTCTGCCCAAGGAGAGAGCCCTGCTTTATGTTCTGGGTCATGAATGGCCTCAAGTATGAAGTTCCTTTCATGGAAGAGAGATTGATGGGTTGTCCTTGGTCTAGCTTGGCCACTGTGCCCAGCTGGTGGTGCTGTTTGATTCTAGCTGATTTGGTCTCTGGGTGAACAATAAGAGGTGTGAGGTGTGGTTTTCCTAGGTATTTTGCAATAGCACCTGGCCAGGTGTTGGAAAACACCCTTTAGTATGGCTTGCATTTGGTAAAGCCTCTGGGGAAGAGATCTCCAGTTTAGAAATAGTTGTTTAGTGGTTCCATGTGTGTTTGTGAGACTTTGTCCTACCCATTCAGCACCTTCATGTTTCCCTAAGGTAGGAGGTAAGGTTGGGAAAGAATGGCGACCACCAACATGGTTTCTACAAAATCCAGTGGAATAAGGGCCTGCCTGTCTGAGCATCTACAATATGTGAGGCACTTTTCCTATATTATCTCATGGATGTTTCTAAAATACATAAAGCATGAGCAGGAACTCATTATTTGCTTATATCTGCTCTTATAGGTAGAATCATTGTGGACCAAGGTTCCCCTTTCTAGACGGAAAAGTGAAGAGGAAGAAGAACTTTGGTCCTTTGTGGTATGATGCACTGAACCCCAGTCCTTCACCTAGCACTTGAGCAGCGCCTGCAAATGGCACCATTGGAAACCATGACCCAGGCTCTTCTGTTTGGGAGGGGGTGAGTATGCCATGGGCACTTGAAGTTGTTTTTTTTGTCGGTTGTGGGGCTTGAACTCAGGGCCTGGGCACTGTCCCTCAGCTTTTTCACTCTAGGCTAGTGCTCTGTCTCTTTGAGCCACAGTACAGCTTCTGGTTTCTGGTGGTTAATTAGAGATGAGACTCATGGATTTTTTTGGCCTGGGCTAACTTTGAACCTCAATCCTCTGAGTAGGTAGGATTATAGGCTTGAGCCATGGGCGCCTGGCTAGCACTTGGCCTTTTCAAGTCATTATTAGCTCTAGTCTACCTGTTTTGGGGAGTAGATGAAAGTTCATTAGGGGTGACTGTTGTTATGTTGGGAAGAAGGTGGCTGAATCCTGGGAACTTTCATATTCTTTTGAGACCATCCTTGTTAGCTTGTTGCTGGGATAGTATTGTTTTGGAGATTTCAGAGGGTGATTTCCTGTCTTTGTCTTGTGCCTGCCTCCAAGCTACCTGGGAAGGGAAAAGAGGAGTTGATTTGACTGCAGTAGGGCAGACTTGGTTTTAGAGACTGTTCTATGAATAAGACAACTTTTGTCTAATCAGCAAAGTGGGCTGAGAGAAAGTGTATAGTTCATGAAAGCTTTATTGCTATGGTCTAAATCAATGTGTGAAGGGCCTGGGATTTCCCCTAGAAAGGACCACAAGGTAATGAAAAGATGTATGTTCTTAATCACTTAGAAGAAAAGAGACTGCAAAGACACCTTCCCCACCTCCTTGGAAGTCCAGCAGAAAGGGCTAAGTGCATTCTCTTTGCAAGTGGGGGAGCACAGTATCACCCTTCTTGTCCCCACTGACCTCACAGTGGGAGAATGATTTGGACCAAAAGGCCTTTCTGGCCAACTTTGCCTTCTTCCCCTGAACACATCCACCAAATTTTTGCTGATTGGACGAAGAATGTGATGTGTGTTCTCTCTGTGTGTGTTTGTGCCTGTCAGAACTCAAGGCCTTCTGCTCTCACTTGACTTTTTCACTCAAGGCTGGCACTCTTCCACTTGAGCCATACCTCTGCTGCTGGCTTTTTGCTGGTTGATTGGAGAAAAGAGCCTCACCGACTTTTCTGCATTCCCTGGCTTTGAACCTCAATCCACAGATCTCAGCTAGGATTGATAGGTATTAGCCACCAGTATCCTGCTATTGATACATTGTTTAACATTGACTTGGTTTGAGTAAAATACTGGTTGGATTTTGAACAAAATAGTCAGAATCACAGATACTTCCTGAGGCCTGGCCCAGGTCACTTCTAAAGTTTCCCACCAGTATTCCACCCTGTTGTGGGTCCTGCTGCAACTTGTCTGCCCTGTCTTGCCTGTTTCTCCTCCCAGCCCCAGCTCTGGCCACTCCCCTTTGATGATTGTGCTGGAAGGCTGGGAGAAAGAACTCTTTCCTTCAGTGTTTCCACTGAAGGAAACACTGATCACCAGCTGATCAGAATTGGGAGATGTTCCCTTTTCGGGAGATGGAAATAATCATGGAAACAGTTAACCCTTTCTAGCACATACCATCCACATTCTGTCCTTATCTTTTGGATCTACCTTTCCTTCCTTGCAAATTCACTCCTGAGGAGAGCTAGTACCCTACCCCTCTGTTAGAGGCCTGGCTCAAGGGTAGATTGTTCCCTTTTGACCAAGTACCTGGGAATCCCTGAACTTTGAGGCCATCTTGAATAGGGGTCAGCTTTGGGAATGTATACCTGTTTCATGACAAGCCTCAGATTTGTATCTGTCCTGTCTCCAGAGAGCCCTTCCTTTTCTCCATTATCCACTCACAGAGTTGTTGTTTTCCCAGAAACACTTTATAATAGGTAAAGTAGACTTGGCTTGTTTGTGGTTTATGTAGCTTAACTCCAGAGTCTGCCTTGTTATTTAACTGGGGTGCCCCATGGGGTTCTGCTACAGCCAGGCTGCCTTTCCTTTAAATTTGCCTCTGTGTGGATTCCAGTGACTGCCTTGGATGGAGTGCAAGTGAATGTTTCAGGACAGCCTCACAGGATGGTCCCAGGTCCTGTCTTAGGGCACATGAGATGCCCAGAGAATAGCCATTCTCCAGCTCTCTGCCGAGTCCCATGATGCTTCTCCTTGAGGTCTACTCACATCTGATCTCCCTTCCTGCTCCATCCCAGCCACTGTCCTTTTTACCCTCAGGACCATGTCATCTGTCACAAGTCATTTTTCAGGAACACTCCCCCCACCCCACCCCCTACCTCCAGTTGTAAATCTGTGAGAACTGCCATCTGCCCTGCACCACAGAGCAAACATTGAGGGATTCTTCTGGAATCAACTCAGATCTAGTCAGAGCTGTCCAGAGAAATGTCAAGTTTGTTTCCGGGTTCTTTGAACAAAGGGAAATATTGAAGCTAAAGAGCTAAATTAGAGAAGCAAGTGAGAGAGGAAAATCTGCAAATTGTGAACTCATATTGGTTTGAGCCATGTGGCTTTTCACCCGACAGTTGCTGGAGCTGAGTCATACGAGGGATGATGTATCATCTCTTGGCTTCAGGCACAGTGGCCGGCCATCTACTTCCCCCCTTCCCCCCCCAAGGAACCCAAGCAGATTTATTTGATGAATAACATGGGTTCTTTTCCAATGCTTAGATCTGTGGTTGGACAAGTTCCATGTGAATGGAGGCGAACCTTTTCAAGCATCTCTCTCCGTCCCCCATTTGGAAGTTGTCAGAGAGCTCTCAACAGAGTTGGGGTACTCAGTTCTGGTTGATGCTCGGCTACTGATCATGACAATCTGTGTCTTACATACTTGCTTCCTGAACTCGCCCTCTTTGTAAGGTCATGAAGAGTTAGCCTGGAAGTAGGGTTGCAAAAAGAAAAGAGCCTCTATATTTTGAAGACCCACTGTGTGCCTAGCATTCTATGAATTCTATCTTAAGAGAACACAGTGCCCTTGGCAGAGGGAGAGAATTGTTTCAAGACCCTTTTTGGATCTCAAAATATATACATGCTCAGCTCCTTTAAAAATGCTGAGGGGTTCACACATAAGCTATATACATCTTCCCATATGCTTTAAATCATCTTGAAATTACTTACTGTGTCTAGTATGCATATGTGCATGGATCCATGTGTGTGTGTGTGTTTGTGTGTGTGTGGTCAGAGTCTTGCTGGGTAGCCTGGAACTTGGCCTGGAACTTAGGCAGCACAGGCTGGCCTCAAATTTGTGACCATCCTGGCTCAGCCTCCTCAGTGTTAGGGTTATAGGAGTATGTCACTATGCTTGGATATACCTGGTACAATGTAAATGCTATGACATTAGTTGCTATTTATACTGTACTGTTTAGAGAAAAATGGCAAGGAAAAGTCTGTATGTGTTAGGTACAGATGCAGCATTGCTTTTTGTTTTGATTCTGAATAATTTCAGCCTACAGTCTATTGAATCTGTACGCACGGAATTATGGTCTGTATTTGACTGGACCATCCACCCCTCTGTCACGTGTGTATTCTCTTTTCTAAGTCCAGTTGATGGAAACCCAAATGGCTGGTTTGAAATCTCAGTACTGTGGTTCTGTCTCTGAATTGGGACTGAACTTTATCTGAGTTCCCAAGTCTGCTGACTTTCCATTATGGGTATAAACAGATGTTAGATAATGAAGTCTAATGATCTCACAGGCTCTTGACTTCATTTCTGATCTATACTTTTCTGTATTGGCTAATTTCTCATAGCACTTGATCTACTACAGTTATTATTGCCTGAAATACCATGTTTAGGTGTCACAATTTTGGGGAGAGTATCAGTAATTGAAAGTTAGGGATCTCATCGAATGTTAAATGCTCATGCATAGGTAGGATGCGTTGAGTAGATTGTTTGACCATCCTTAGGAAAGTTGACTAGTTTTCATTCTTTCTAAGGAACAGGAGAGCATCCAGATGGACTGAGGGCTTTCTTTAATTGTCATGTCCTGTGACACAAATGGCCTGGGACATTGGTGTTTTGGGTTTGATGCCACATTGCTCCCTTGAGCCTTTCCCTGGCCTGTCCCTCTCCTGTCCATATTGCATAAACATTGGTGTGGCAGAACAGATGGCCATCCTGGGGGCTCCTTTGATGTCACATTTGGTTGCCTGGGTCGGGGGTAGAGTAGCTGCAGCCAGCCTCCATGGGAGGAAGAGGGACTGCCTGGGAAATACCTACTTGACATGGGTAAACAAAAGCTTAACTCCGGAAAAGCCAGGCTCCCTGGTACAGACACAGGGCAGGCAGTCAGAGTGGGATTTACATAAGTGTGTTTAGTTTGGGAAGGAGCCAGTTTGCACTAAGCACAGATTTTTCTCTCTGCTTCTAATTGACACTCTGCAGTGTTTAGTTTTCTTATAGGAATGGGAATGAATGTTGATAGTGGCGGCGCGCGCGCGCGCGCGTGTGTGTGTGTGTGTGTGTGTGTGTACATGGAGTGATGAGATTGTATAGATTATTACTTTGGTGTGTGTGTGTGTGTGTGAGAGAGAGAGAGAGAGACAGGAGAGAGAGGAGAGAGTATACAAATACTGGGGCTTGAACTCAGAACCTGGGTGCTGCCCCTTAGCTCTTTTTTTGTGCAAGGCTTTACCATTTGAGCCACAGTTGCATTGCCTGTTTTTTTTTTTTTTTTTTTTTTTAGTGGTTAATTGAAAAGTAGAATCTCACAGACTTTCCTGCCCAGGCTGGCTTCCAACCATGATCCTCAGATCTCAGCCTCCTGAGTAGCTAGGATTACGTAGTACCTGTTACTAGTACCTAGTTCAGATCATTATTTCGAGAGCTGGAAAAAATCCCTTCCACAGGCTGGGGCCAGCTTTCCTGGAGACTCAGGTGGAAGGATGTGGAATCCCCGAAGAGGAAGAGGAGGTCAATGGGCATCCTTATCAGTGGGCTTCTCAGCTGTTCACCTGGCATTGATCTGTGTAATAAGGACTAAAGGCTTTGAAGACAAAAGGAAGGAAGATAATGAATAGTGCCCAGACTGAGAGAGCATGTGGCAGCAGATTCTTT